ACTATACTATGACTTTTTATGCCTTACAATACTATGACTTTTTATGCCTTACTATATTGGCACTTTTTATACCTTACTATACTATGACTTTTTTATGACTTTTTATGCCTCACTATACTATGACTTTTTATGCCTTACTATACTATGACTTTTTATGCCTTACAATACTATGACTTTTTATGCCTTACTATATTGGCACTTTTTATACCTTACTATACTATGACTTTTTTATGACTTTTTATGCCTCACTATACTATGACTTTTTATGCCTTACTATACTATGACTTTTTATGCCTTACAATACTATGACTTTTTATGCCTTACTATATTGGCACTTTTTATACCTTACTATACTATGACTTTTTTATGACTTATTATGCCTTACTATATTGGAATTTTTTATGCCTTACTATACTATGTCATTTTTATGACTGTTTATGCCTTACTATACTATGACTCTTTTATGACTTTTTATGCCTTACTATACTATGACTTTTTATGCTTTACTATACTATTACTTTTTATGCCTTACTACACTATGACTTTTTCATGACTTTTTATGCATTACTATACTATGTCATTATTATGACTTTTTATGCCTAACTATACTATGACTTTTTATGCCTTAATATACTATGTTGTTTTTATGACTTTTTATGCCTTCATATACTATGACTTTTTATGCCTTAATATACTATGACTTTTTATGCCTTCCTATACTATGTTTTTTTATTACTTTTTATGCTTTACTATACTATGACTTTTTATGCATTACTATACTATGACTTTTTTATGACTTTTCTTACTATACTATTTTATGCTTTACTATACTATGACTTTTTATGCATTACTATACTATTTTTATGCCTTCCTATACTATGTTTTTTTATTACTTTTTATGCTTTACTATACTATGACTTTTTATGCCTTATTATACTATGACTTTTTATGACTGTTTATGACGTACGATACCATGACTTTTTATGCCTTACTATACTGTTGTTTTTATGACTTTTTTTCTTACTATACTGTGACTTTTTTATGACTTTTTATGCTTTTCTATATTGTGACTTTTTATGCCTTACTATACTATGACGTTTTTATGACTTTTAATTTCTTTCTATACAATGACTTTTTATGACTTTTTATGCCTTACTATACTATGTCGTTTTTATGACTTTTTATGCCTCACTATCCTATGTTGTTTTTATGACTTTTTATGCCTTAATATACTTTGACTTTTTATGCCTTAATATACTATGTCGTTTTTATGACTTTTTATGCCTTACTATACTATGACGTTTTTATGACTTTTTATGCCTTACTATACTATGTCGTTTTTATGACTTTTTATGCCTTACTATACTATGACTTTTTTATGACTTTTTATGCCTTACTATATTGGGACTTTTTATGCCTTAATATACTATGACTTTTTTATGACTTTTTATGCCTTACTATACTATGACGTTTTTATGACTTTTTATGCCTTACTATAATATGACTTTTTAAAACTTACTATCCTATGACTTTTTTATTACTTTTTGTGCCTTACTATACTATGACTTTTTTATGACTTTTTATGACTTACTATATTGGGACTTTTTATACCTTACTATACTATGACTTTTTTATGACTTTTTATGCCTCACTATACTATGTTGTTTTTATGACTTTTTATGCCTTACAATAATATGACTTTTTATGCCTTACTATACTATGACTTTTATATGACTTTTTATGCCTTACTATATTGGGACTTTTTATGCCTTACTATACTATGACTTTTTTATGACTTATTATGCCTTACTATATTGGAATTTTTTATGCCTTACTATACTATGTCATTTTTATGACTGTTTATGCCTTACTATACTATGACTCTTTTATGACTTTTTATGCCTTACTATACTATGACTTTTTATGCTTTACTATACTATTACTTTTTATGCCTTACTACACTATGACTTTTTCATGACTTTTTATGCATTACTATACTATGTCATTATTATGACTTTTTATGCCTAACTATACTATGACTTTTTATGCCTTAATATACTATGTTGTTTTTATGACTTTTTATGCCTTCATATACTATGACTTTTTATGCCTTCCTATACTATGTTTTTTTATTACTTTTTATGCTTTACTATACTATGACTTTTTATGCATTACTATACTATGACTTTTTTATGACTTTTTATGCCTCACTATACTATGTTGTTTTTATGACTTTTTATGCCTTGCTATACTATGACTTTTTATGCCTTATTATACTATGACTTTTTATGACTGTTTATGACGTACGATACCATGACTTTTTATGCCTTACTATACTGTTGTTTTTATGACTTTTTTTCTTACTATACTGTGACTTTTTTATGACTTTTTATGCTTTTCTATTTTATGACTTTTTATGCCTTACTATACTATGACTTTTTTATGACTTTAATGCGTCACTATATTATGTTGTTTTTATGACTTTTTATGCCTTAATATAGTATGACTTTTTATGCCTTCCTATACTGTGTCGTTTTTATGACTTTTTATGCCTTACTATATTGGGACTTTTTATGCCTGACTATACTATGTCATTTTTATGACTTTTTATGCCTTACTATACTATGACTTTTTTATGACTTTTTATGCCTTACTATATCATGACTTTATGACTTTTTATGCCTTACTATACTGTGACTTTTTTTATGACTTTTTATGCTTTACTATACTATGTCTTTTTATGCCTTACTACACTATGACTTTATGACTTTTTATGCCTTACTATACTATGTTGTTTTTATGACTTTTTATGCCTTACTATACTATGACTTTTCATGCCTTACTATACTATGTCATTTTTATGACTTTTTATGCCTTACTTTATTATGGCTTTTTTATGACTTTTTATGCCTTACTATACTATGACTTTTTATGCCTTACTATACTATGTTGTTTTTGACTTTTTATGCCTTACTATACTATGACTTTTTTTATGACTTTTTATGCCTTACAATACTATTACTTTTTATGCCTTACTATACTATGACTTTTTTATGACTTTTTATGCCTTACTATATCATGACTTTATGACTTTTTATGCCTTACTATACTGTGACTTTTTTTTATGACTTTTTATGCTTTACTATACTATGTCTTTTTATGCCTTACTACACTATGACTTTTTTATGACTTTTTATGCCTTACTATACTATGTTGTTTTAATGACTTTTTATGCCTTACTATACTATGACTTTTCATGCCTTACTATACTATGTCATTTTTATGACTTTTTATGCCTTACTTTATTATGGCTTTTTTATGACTTTTTATGCCTTACTATACTATGACTTTTTATGCCTTACTATACTATGTTGTTTTTGACTTTTTATGCCTTACTATACTATGACTTTTTTTATGACTTTTTATGCCTTACAATACTATTACTTTTTATGCCTTACTATACTATGACTTTATTATGACTTTTCATGCCTTACTATATTGGGACTTTTTATGCCTTACTATAATATGACTTTTTTATGACTTTTTATGCCTTAATATACTATGACTTTTTTTATGACTTTTTATGCCTTACTATACTATGTTGTTTTTATGACTTTTTATGCCTTAATATACTATGACTTTTTATGCCTTCCTATACTATGTCGTTTTTATGACTTTTTATGCCTTCCTATACCATGTCGTTTTTATGACTTTTTATGCCTTACTATACTGACTTTTTTATGACTTTTTTTGCTTTACTATACTATGACTTTTTTATGACTTTTTATTCCTTCCTATACTATGACTTTTTTATGACGTTTTACATCTTATTATACTATGACTTTTTATGCTTTAATATATCACTTTTTTATGACTTTTTATGCTTCAGTACAGTATGACTTTTTACATCTTAATATAGTATGACTTGTTTTTGCATTATTGTTCTATGATATTTTTAGGACTTTTTATGCCTTACCATAATATGTCGCTTTTATAACTTTCATGCCTCATTATAGTATGACTTTCAATGTCTTACTGTATTATGGAATTTTATGCCTTTTTGTGCCTTACAATACTGACTTTTTTACGACTTACTATACTGTGTTGTTTTTATAACTTTTATGCCTTACTATACTATGACTTTATATGCCTTATTATACTATGACTTTTTTATGACTTGTAATGCCTCACGATACTATGTTGTTTTATAACTTTCATGGCTTAAAATATTATTTCGTTTCAATGACTTTTTATGCCTTAGTATACAATCTTTTTTACAAATTTTTATGCGTTACTATACTATGGCACTTTTTTTACTTTTTATGTTATAATATACTGTTCTTTTGTGACTATTTATGCCTTACCATACTGTCATTTTTATGCCTTATTATTGTATGATTTTTTATGGCTTACTTTACTATGTTGTTTTCATGATTTATTATGTCTAACTATACTGTGTCCGTTTTATGCCTAGCTATACTATGACTTTTACATGACTTTTTATGCTTTACTATACAATTATGATTTTATGACTTTTTGTACAATTTAATTTCCATGACTTACTTTACCATGTTTTTATGACTTTTCATGTCTTACTATAACATGTCAATGTTATTACTTTCAATAGTTTCATTGATGTGACTTTTTATGACTTTCTACACCATGATGGTTTTATGACTTTTTATACAATTTCATTTTAACGACTTACTATACTTTCAAGCTTTTATGAATTTTCATGCCTTACTATACAGTTTTTATGCCTCATTATACGATGATGTTTTTATATCTCACTATACTGTGGCCTACTATACTATGTCTTAACCCTAACCCCAATATTCACATAAAAGCAGTTGATGGACATTCTAAACCAACTATAAACTTCTACCTATCACAAATTTTGTTCTCGTCTTGGAAACAGAAGAAAGGAGGCTGAAATTTCAAGTTAGAATTGCAGACAATATTCATTTATTATATTTATTCAAACAGTTAAAGTGCAGGAAGAACTACAACAGAGGGTTAAGGGCTCAATGGACATCACAGTCAAGACTTATATCCTAATCTAAATTAACACACGCTAACAAGTGCTAACTGGTGCTAACTGGTGCCCAAGCTGACTGAAATAAACGTGGATCCTAGAATATAGAGAAGAGTCTCGTTAGCATTGTTAGCTCATAAGAACAGTGTCTAAAAATACTTGTCAATACTCAGGTCGTTAAGGTGAACAACAGTTTCTTTAGTCCCTTTTATTTTGTTTCCTTGGAAACCACTGAGCCAGTCTGAAGCCAGCAGCTGAAGCAGACAAGTAGATTTTTAGACACCCCTTTCAGTGACGTGAAAGGGGCATGGTCAGATGTAAACTTGGTCTCCTAATGTCTCTGTTTAAATAAAAATCAGTGGTTACTGTGATGACAGAGCACTGCCATCTGATTGGCTGCTGTATTGGGGGTGGGCAGAGTCAGTCTGTCAGCAGCAGGTGAGGGGGCGGAGCTCCAGCAGCCATAGCAGGGGTCAGAGGGCAGAGATCGTTGTTGAGTTTGAGTGGAGACCGTCGCTGCTTCCTGAGTGGAACTCTATTGGTAAGAGTCTGAAGAAACACAGAGAGAATTCTGCGCTGTGATTGGCTGAAAGGAGGCAGTGTTTTATTACCTGATAACAGCTCGTCATCAATAAACATGTGTACTGTTTGTAGATCCATTATCTGCAGTTAAAAAGATCATTAAGGGCTGAAGAAAATGTATTAAAATGCCTTAATATATAATATATTCAATTAGTTTATACATTGATTAACTCAATATTTGACACATTTGTATTTGCACATTGACTGAAAATGTCTCATCATTCACATTCATCTAGAAATTAACGGGAGACTCATGAAGCCCTTTACATGTACGTCATTAAGGCCTTTTCAAATTAAGGGCTTTTTAAAGGCTTTAGATTTTCAAACTAAAAGAAGGATCTCTGTCTGATTCAGATGTGTGTGTTTTCATGGACATTAAGGGTTAATTAAGGAGATGTTCAGGGGTTGATGTTAAACAGATAAACTGTATTTACAATGACAATAATGATGATGATGACAACGATGATGATGATGATGATGATGATGATGATGACGACTGACCAGGCGGAGTTGTTGGGCGTACAGCAGCTCCGGTTCGTCTGGTTTCCGGGTTGGCATGGCGACATGCCAACGCTGAAGTTCTGCCATCATCTCCGTCAGACTGAAGAGGACTGCTGGGTCAGCACGGCAACGATTGATCAGCTCCACCAAGCGCTCTTTATAGTGCAACCTGTTGTGACAGACAAGTGAGACAAACACACCATATATTCTGACGGGGAGGCTGTTACTGTGAGAACTGGTCTTACTGGCAGTATCCTCTGTATTCAGGTAGTGCAGGTTGACCGCAGGGCTCCTCCCGTCTGCTGCCATCATCTCTCAGCTCCAAAACCAAACATACTCCTGAAAATGAATGAGTCGAGTCAGTCATTGTCTAAAGGTTCTCCTGAGAACAGAAGGTCAGGTTGGAGGACCTTGAACAGACATGCACACGAATGATGATGATCACGGCACAGCACAGATAGACTTTATTACCTGTCGATAACGCTGCTCTGTAATTCGGGGGGGGGGGGGGGGTTCTACCTGTTTTTGTGTTTCTATATTTGTGGTTGTTTGTCTTTGCCATTGATGTTTATTATTTGTTTTATAGTTGAACTGAAGCAAAATGTCTGTTCAACGACCTCTTGTACAAAGTGTGTTTATGCTTCCCAGTAAAAATATTTGAAATGAGTCAAACTGGGAGAGAGGAGTCCACCTGAGACCTCACCTGTCAGACTGGTGTCAGGTAAGCTGCCATTGGCTGGTTCCAACCAGGAAGGAGACACTCTGTAATACTGATAAAGAAACACAGGTCTCATCAGCACTGTCCACACATCACCTGTGTCCACTTGAGCTCTTCAGGCAGCAGTGTCTTAGGTGTTTGTTACCTGTAGCAGCAGGTGTAGGCGTGTCACGCTCCAGTCTCTCAGGTGATACAGGCAGTCTCTGGGGTGGTGGGCGTGAAGACCTTTGGTTCCACAGTCAGCAGAGAAACCACATGCCTTAGGGTGTTAAAATAAAATAGCCACACACCTGAAACACCTGAGCTCGTTAAACCAGCTTTTTAAATGAGTTCATCGTTCCCTGTTTTATAGAAAAGATCAGAACGTTTCCAAATGAAGTAAAAATACAATAAATCAATCTCAATGAAATGTGACACTGTCATCCTTCATACCTGGAGATGACAGGTAGACAGGTGTGTTAACTACAGTTTAATAGAGTACACGACAGTAGAACCTGACAGTACATGGCAGTAGAACCAGACAGTGTAACTTGACTGTACATGGCAGTAGAACCTGACAGTAGAACCCTGCAGTAGAGGACAGTAGAATCTGACAAAGTAGAACCTGACAGTAGAAGCCTACAGTACATGACAGTAGAACCTGACAGTATATGGGAGTAGAATCTGGCAGTAGAACCTGACACAGTAGAACCCTACAGTAGATAACAATAGAACCCTACAGTTGATGACAGTAGAACCAGACATTAAAACTTGAAACAGTAGAACCTGACATTAAAGCCCTACAGTAGAGGACTGTAGAACCTGACAGTAAATCAAAGTAGAACTTGATTTAGTAGAACTTGACAGTACATGGCAGTAGAACCTGATAGTAGAACCCTACAGTAGATGGCAGTAGAACCTGACAGTAGAAGCTGATAGTAGAACCTGACAGTAAAACTTGACACAGTAGAACCCTACAGTAGATGACAGTAGAACCTAACTTAGTAAAACCTGACAGTACATGGCAGTAGAACCTGACAGTAGAACCCTAAAGTAGATGAAAGTAGAACCTGACTTAGTAGAACCTGACAGTACATGGCAATAGAACCTGGCAGTATATGGGAGTAGAAACTGGCAGTAGAACCTGACAGTAGAACCTGAAACAGTAGAACCCTGCAGTAGATGACAGTAGAACCTAACCTAGTAGAACCTGACAGTACATGGCAGGAGAACCTGACAGTAGAACCTTACAGTAAATGACAGTAGAACCTGACAGTACAAACCGATAGTAGAACCCGACAGTAAAACTTGACACAGTAGAACCTGACAGTAAAATCCCTACAGTAGTTGACAGTAGAACCTGGCAGTAGAACCCTACAGTAGATGACAGTAGAACCTAACCTAGTAGAACCTGACAGTACATGGCAGTAGAACCTGACAGTAGAACCCTACGGTAAATGAAAGTAGAACCTGACTTAGTAGAACCTGACAGTACATGGCAGTAGAACCTGACAATAGAACCCTAGAGTAGATGACAATAGAACCTGACAGTAGATGAAACTGGAACCTGACTTAGTAGAACCCTACAGTAGATGACAGTAGAACCTGGACTCACAGCTCCCAAGGTGAAGGTCTGGCTGCAGCCTCCACAGAACTGATGCTGACACTGACTGCAGGTGAAGTGAAGACAGCCTCCTTTGGACAGACTGAAGATGAACTGACAGTTTGGACACTCTGAGGACACACAAACACATCACAGTCAGACAATAGAACCACATTAGACCACAGTAGAGATGACTCACAGTAAACAACAGTACAGTAAATCAAGTAAAGACAGTAGAAGCTATTTGCCATGGCAGGAACTTGAAGACCTGTGACCCAGTTCTACTCAGGACCTTCTCCTTGTGTTTCCCTGTGTCTTCCAAACATTTCAGATAAACGTCATTGACGAATGATCAGATAAACATTTGTTGTGCTTGTTGTGAAGTGAAATGACCTGACCTGAACCCTTCAGGTTCTTCAGGACCTTGTTCCCACAGAGAGGGAACAGTGAAAACTAAAGAACCAGGTTCAGTTTAAGGTCCTGCAGTGGAAACAGGAGTCCTGGAGGCCCCTTCAGGACCTGGTTCAGGCCCCGATGGTGCTGTGTTTGTACCGATGCTGTTGTAGCTGAGCAGGGTGGAGGTGTGGTGGTCCAGCTGGTTCTGCTGCTGCCAGACTCTGAACTGGTCACAGGACAGACCCTGATGCTGAGTTGACCACTGCAGAACAGAGAGACTCATGATACAGTCAGATCTGAGAGCAGTGACCAGCAGAACGTGCGTGTGTGTGTGTGTGTGTGTGTGTGTGTGTGTGTGTGTGTGTGTGTGTGTCTTACAGGTGACCTGCACTGAGAGCAGGTACTCTTCTTACAGCTGGGACAGTCCATCCTCAACCGGTCAGCCTCATGAAGCATGCCAAATGAACACTAACACACACACACACACACACACACACACACACACACACACACACACACACACACAATTAGTCTGTTAGCTGAAGGTGACGACTTCAAACAGCATCCTGTATCTGACCAAAGAGTCCAGTTCACAGCTGTAAATCCTCAAACTGGACAAACTGGGATTAGTGCACCTCAGCCTGAGACCTGTATTAAAGATCCTGGTCTGTCCTGGTCCTGTCAGGGTTGGGTTCTTACATGAGCACACCAGCAGAAGTTCGGCATCTCCTGCAGAGCTCGATCCCTGAGTTTCCTTTGGAAGAGTTCATGGACCTGAGGAGGCAGGAAGTGACGGATCTGTAAACAAACAAACAAACAAAGTTAGAGCAGCAGGATGTTCCACCTGAAGCTGCATGTTTGTGTCAAACGTTTTTATTGATCAGCAGCTTCAGTCTGTGACTCCACAGTTCTCCAGGTGAGCCCCTCACCTGAGTGTCCAGCAGGTTGAAGTAGTCCATGGACTCCTCCATCCCCCCCTGACCTCTGACCTCAGGTCTGCCACACTGAGGACAAACCAGCTGATCGATGCTTCGCTCTTTAATGGCTGCAGAGAAAAACGTCTTAAAACACGTTTGACACAGGAAGCAGGAGCAGTGAGTCATGGTGATGATCTGCAGGAAATACAGGTAGAGAAGAAGAGATTAAAACAAACCAGCCTCAGGTCAGGACCTCAGAAATTATGCTCTGCTCATCAGGATTGGACTTGACATGGACATGTTGTCCATCTGGTCTCAACAAGGTCAGTGTTTATACTGGTCCACACACACACACACACACACACACACACACACACACACACACACACACACACACACACA